TCTTCATCGTGCCGGTGGGGAATCATTCCAACATCCCGTTCAGCAGGGTGAACCACAGCAAGTTCATGGTCACGGAGAAGGCAGCCTACATAGGTGAGCGCCCGCAGATCACGGCGGGCGGGCCCCAGGGTGGCCAGGCACGGGCGAGGGAGGCAGTGGCTTTGTGGCCGGCGTGGACACCTCAGGACAGAGGGGCTGCTGCTGAAGGGGGACAGGGTCTCCATGGAGTTCCGGGAACCAGGCCACCCGCCTGTCACCTGGCCCCACAGGGCCCCAGAACACTGAGTCAGGACGCCTGGCGCCGCGTGGTGAGGGAGGAGTTCCTCCGCGACCAGCTGTCCCTCCCGCACCTAAGCGAGGGGCTTCCCCGGCTGGGGTCTGATGACAGTGGAGGGGCCAGCTGCCAACCGTCCCCAAACCCGTAGCCGGGCCTGGCGCTGAGCGGGCTGCGGAGAGGCCTGTGGGAGCCGGCGCCCAAGCGTCTCCTCCGTCCTCCCCACAGGCACCTCCAACTGGTCGGAGGATTACTTCAGCAGCACGGCGGGGGTGGGCCTGGTGGTCACCCAGAGCCCCGGCGCGCAGCCCGCGGGGGCCACGGTACAGGAGCAGCTGCGGCAGCTCTTTGAGCGGGACTGGAGTTCGCGCTACGCCGTCGGCCTGGACGGACAGGCTCCGGGCCAGGACTGCGTTTGGCAGGGCTGAGGGGGACCCTTTTTTCTCTCGGCGACCCCGCCCTGTCCCCGCCCTCCCCTCTGACCCGGCCTGGGCTTCAGCAGCTTCCTCCTGTAAGCAGCCCGGGTCGCCACTGAGCCAGGAGCCGCCTGCGACCGCCCGGGCGCCGCGCACCGCCCGCCAGCTCTCTGATTTCCGAGTCCAGCCCCCCTAAGCCCCGCCTCCTCCAGGGAGCCCTCCAGGAGGCCCCTACCCTGACTCCTGGCCCACAGGCCAGGCCTAAAAAACACTCGTGGCTTCCCAGTGCCTCTGTGTGAGTCCAGCGCTGGCGGCCCTTCATCCTTTTGCCAAGGGCCCGCCTCTACGCGCCCGCCACTGCGAAGCCGCGCCGCGCGACTGACGTGGCAGCGCCTCAGCTAGTCCGGGGTCCGCGAGAACCCGGGGCGGGGCGGGGACCAGACTGGCCCCCCGGGCGGAGTGAACCCTCAATCTCCCACTCCGCGCCGAGTTGCCGCGCTCCGGAACCCAAATTCCCGCCCAGCGGATGCAGTGGGGAGCGAGAGCCGCGGAGCCCACGCCCGGGACTCCCGCAGAGGGAACGCAGACCAAGGCGCAGCGCCGCGCACCCACAGCCAGGGGGCGGCTCCTACGGCGCCGGACAGGTGCGGCGAGGGAGGGGAGCGGGGCTGAGGGGACGCGGAGAGTGGGAGGGGACGCGGAGAGCGGGAGGGGACCCGGGGCTGAGGGGACGCAGAGAGCGGGAGGGGACCCGCCGCTCAAGGGGCACAGAGGGCGGGAGGGGACGCGCGGCTGAGGGGACGGGGAGGCCGGGAGGGGACGCGCGGCTGAGGAGACGGGGAGGCCGGGAGGGGACGCGCGGCTGAGGGGACGGGGAGGCCGGGAGGGGACCCGGGGTTGGGGGACGGGGAGGCGGGGAGGGGACCTGGGGCTGGGGGAAGGGGAGGGCGAGAGGGGACCCGGCGCTGAGGGAATGGGAAGGGCGGGAGGGGAGCTGCGGCTGAGGGGACGGGGAGGACGCGAGGCGACCGGGGCTGAGGGATGGGGAAGTCGGGAGGGGACCCGCGGCTGAAGGGATCAGGAGAGTGGAAGTCGGGAGGGGACCCCTGACGGGGAGGGTAAGAGGGAGGGAACCCAGGGCCGAGAGAACAGGTCCCGTGTGAGGGCTGGGGAGACAGGCCGGCGAGGGTAGGGGTGCGCAAGGCTGTGTGGTTTGTGGGCTGTTGTGCTTGGGCTGTTGTGCAGGGCGGGTCCAAGAATGTGGGGGCGGGACTGTCCTGGGGATGCAGAGCCCAGGATTGGTGCATGGGGCTGAGAGGACCAGCATTTGAGCTGGAGGGCAGGAAGGTGACTCCAATCTGAGACCAGGACTTGGATACGGCTCCACTGGAACTCACCCTATCCTGGGAGCCACCTGGGCACCTGTGCTGCAGATGCAGGATTCGAACCCAGGTCTGGCCACTCCGTTCCCACTCTTCTGCTATGAATGCTGGGCCAGAAGCCTTCTCAAAGCTCCCTGGCTTGTCTCACCTGATGGTTCCTGACCAAGACCACAGGGTACCCTCCCCTGGTGGAGGTCCATGGGGCCACCCTAGGCTGGAGTTCAGGGACAGTGCAGCGGTATGAAGGAGCACTGGAGCTGAATGGACCCCAGGGTCCCCCGAATGCTCTCCCAGTCTTGGGGCACCACTTTCCTACCCTTCTCTACTTCTCTACTTTTCCTACCCTTCTCTACCTTTTTCCTTCCTATTTTTGTGTCCCTGCCACACTGTGAACTCAGCCCTATCTTCCTCTTCCCTCTTCGCTTTGGGGAAAGCTAGCGAAGTTCATCTAAGGTACAGTACAAGTTACTTTTCTGTTCGATTGGTGACCTCAAACTTCCCCCATCTAAAGGACGCCTTAGACCTCAGCATTCTATCTGTGCAGAAAGTCTCCTACACCCATCCTGCCTCCCTGCCCAAGCTTGTGAAAAGTTTGCTGCAGATGCTGCAGGAGGATGGGGATCCACACAGCCCTGCAAGGCCTCAGGAGCCTCTGGGAGCTGCTTTGTATGTGAGCTGCACTTGGCCAAGCCAAGCTCTGGCAGTTGCAGTGGCTGCTCCCTGTGGCTTCCTATCTCTCATCCATGCTCCAAATCTCCTCAGCAACCATCTGCCAAAAAGCTGCGTGGCAACACCTGGCTCAGAATCTGATATCATCCCAGACTAAGCTCTGCCCTCCAGAGTTGCATGTGTGGGTTTGCTCCCTGGTTCTTGGCCTTATACCTGAATGTGTCTCAGAGCACTTGGCCTGCTCTCTTGGCCTGCCAACTGTGTTCTAGGAGGGCTCTGTGCTCCAGGTTGTGATTTGGACAACTGGCTTGCGGCCCTCATCCAGTGAAAGGCCTCTTTCCACACACCTGGGGTCTGGCAGTCACACCTCAGTGGCACTGTCAGAGGCCTACTTCAAAGCAGACTCCTATTCCCAAGGAAATCCAGCTTGACAAGGTTTGAGAGACCCCAGGAGGGTAACACAATGTGGCCCCTTCTGGAATATAGCAGACAGACTCTAGAATGACTCCCATGACCCCCACCTCCTGCTATGCATGCCCTTGTGTGATCTTACCTTGAGTGTGTGCATGACCTGTGCCTTGTTGTAACTAATAGAATACACAGAGGTAATGGGGTGTCACTTTTGTGATAGCAGTCTATCCCTTGCTAGCTTTAATAAAGTGAGCTGCTAGGCTATGAGCTGTCCTGTGAAGAGGCCCATGTGGCAGGGTACTGGGATTGCTTCCAGCCCCCAACTAGCAAGAAACTGGGGCCCTCAATCATCCCATCCACAGGAGTTGAGTGTGGCTAGCAACACTCAAACACTGAAGCTTAAATGTGAGCTTCAGAAGTGGCTTCTTTCCTGGTCATGCCTGAAGGGGAGACCACAGCCCCAACTGACACCTTGATTGACGCCTAATGGGACCTTGAGCAGAGAACCCAACAAAGCCACACTTGGGCTGATCTACAAAAACTGGGAGATCATAAATATGTGTTGTTTTAAGTTGCTCATTTGTAGTGAGTGATGTTCTTATGCAGCATAGATAACTCATACACAGAGAACCAAGGCCACGTGAGAACCCTGTGGGGGCCCCTGCTGCTCAGCCACTTCTCATGTGCTGGGACAGCTGTCTCTCTGGCCTCTAGCACCAAGGTCCCCACTATCCCAGGCCTTGACTCTGGGATCAGAGAGGGATAAAAGCCCCATGGAGCCAGGCAGACTCCTCCCTCTGCAGTGCTCCCTGGGCTGCACTCACCTAGCTTGTCTGGCACACACAAGTTGGAGTAGAGGAGGCAGGAAGCCCTGGGAAGGGAGGGGGTGACAGCCTTGCTTAACTGTGGGATGAGTGCCCACCAAATTTCCCTTCCCCCTTCCCCTGCTTGTGAGCCCCCAGGGGACCTGTGTCAGTTCACTTTCTAGAGGCTTCTGTGTCCCCTAACTTGGATGACACCCATGGGCCTCCCCAACTCAGCACAGGGAACATATGCCCATGGTGGCATGGGGAAAGAACCCAGCCTCTCCCCTGCCCAGGCTCCTGCACCCCATAGCTGTCACTCCTCTGGAACCTCTCAGGGCAGCACAAGGAGTGGTAGCCTCAGAGTGGCCTTCACCCTTCAGGCACTGTCATCCTCCAGATTGGCTACAGCCCAGCTCTTGCTCCCATGCCCACAGCCATGAGAACAGCCACCTCCCCAGGGGTCCATGAGTGCTACTCACCAGGAGCCCACCCAAGCCAGGAGGGAGCTGGGGGCAAGTTCCAACCGCCCCCTTGAACACTGCATACCCATGAACCCAGCAGAAGCATCTGAGGGCAGCTGGGAAGAGATCTGACCACTGAAAGACTATAGGGAACCCCTTGAACCTCACTCCACTACCGCACGTGGATTTGCTTCCTGTGGGCTGCCCAAGAGAGCCTCTGTGATAAAGGAAGCTTCTGAGGATGAGCCACTAAAGATGACCAAGGACACCTTTCTGTGCTGTCCCCACTCTGCACTCTATCTCCCATCCCACACTGCCTCCAGCTGGAGGAAGGAAGGGAGGGTTGAGAGACCAGGATTCACCGTGTCCTTGCCACACTGTGAACTCAGCCCTATCTTCCTTGTCTTCCTCACAGCCTCTAGCTCAGAGGAGGACCTGGACAAATGGATGATACATAGGCAACCACTCTAATGTTCCTCCTTGACTGTTCTCTAGAGCTACTTAGTAGAGACCAGAGTGTGTGGGGGGAAAGCACTGGTAAACTTCCACCCGTAGACAGAAGACCTCAGCAGCCTTCACCGTGGGATGCAGCACTTTCTTTATTGCCCATCCAGGGAACAGCCAAGCCAGCTTCATCTGCATTCTGGCTGCAGCATGTACATTAGGAGACTCAGGGGCCACAGTGTGGGACCGTGCACGCTGGCAAGGCACTGGTGGATGCTGGCAAGCAAGTGGACATGGATAGATGAGAATGACAACTCACAGATGTCCTGGCTTCTGCTGGCCCAGCTGCCAGCCACTGGACGCCATCACCCTTCTGCCTAGCACGTGTGTATTGTCACACAAAACATCTTGAAGCTTGCCATTAGTGAGAATTCAACAAAGAAGTAAGCTAAGAGAGAAGGAAACAGTGTCTCCTGGAATATACCGCACTCTGCCTGAAATAGGAAAACTATGTTTGCCAGGAAGCAGCAGCAGCAGGAAAGAAGTTATACCAAAAACTACTCGTACACCACAGACATTAGAACCCTTTCCTCAAAGAAACACTCATGTTCTGTTGGGTATTATGGACAGGTCTCTTGAAATTTTTCTAATAAAGACCAACAAACTTTCCCAGCAATGCCTCTGAGTACCGTGAGAATTCTGGTGTCTTGTGGGAAGTCAGGGTGCCTTCTTTGCATCCAAAGCTTTGGTTCCATTTTAGGAGGGCAGTGTGATGGTGACAAAGGTGTTCTGGTCATTTCTGCTCTGTTCTCAGTTCTGTGAAGTGAGGTGGATGTAATGTGCTGTGGGATGGGGTGCTCCATATGTGTGTGTAGCCTTTACTTTCCAACTTAGTTTTTTGCATCTCTCTTATGCTGATGAGCCATACCTCTCAGCCTTCATTTGGTCACAGGACTGAGCCTTTGCCTACATCATCAGCTTTTTTGTCCTGCTCTAGCAGGATTAACTCTGTTCTTGCCGCAGATGTCACCGTCACTCTGGAGTCCAGCCCAGTGCTCACAGGCCCGACCAGTTCACCCTCTTCCTTCTCTTCAGGGGAGAAACTTTCTTGGGCATCAAAAAAGGTGATTGTTTCTTCTTGAAGTTTTTGTTCTTCCAGCTCTGCCTCATCTTCGGTGCTTTTACTTTTCTTGGTAGGAGATGAGGAGAACCCTAATTTGGGAAATCGGAACCAGCCTGCCTTCTCCTGTTTTTTAGGCAGTTCTGCCTCTGGTCGTGCCTCAGGCTGTGTTTGAATAGGGGCAGATCTCTGGATGTCATTTTTGGAATCGACACCTGTCTCATCAACAGAAGAGGAAAACCCAATATTTGGAAGCCAAAACCAGAGCAGACCAGATTTTTTACTTTCTGGTTTCTCTTTTGGAGCCCTGCCTTCATCCACCAGTGGTGTGGTTGCCTCTTGGCTATCATCAGGGGGAAACTCAAGAATTTCTGCTGGCTCCTCATCTGAACAGCTGTCTGCAAGCTGATGGCCAGAAGGAAGTTCAAATGTGAGTGTTTGCTGTCCCAGTACATTGACGCTGGAAGAGATCATCTCAAATGGTTCTCCAGTGTCAGGCTGGAGATCTCCAGAAATGGAGTCTGCTCCTGGGGCAGCTTGTGTGGGAGCCTCTTCTGCGCCCTCCTGAGTCCTAGAGTGCTGAGTCACTGTTGTGTACACTCTAGCCTGCGTGTGGGGCTCTGGGATTTTCACCTTTAATAAGGAAAATCCATATGAAGGTGTTTGAATCTCTGATGCAGGGATCTCTGATTCCCGCACAATCTGAGTGGAAAAAGCCCTGGGTGCTGAGAGATCTACAAACTCTGGTGTCACTATGCTGTGTATAGTGACTTCTTGACTTTCAACCTGAGCACCCTGAATATGCACTCTGACCTTTGAAATTGGGGAAGCTTCCAAAGGCAGGTTAAGCTCCACAGGCTGCTCCCTGGGGACCCCAGCACCTGCCTTCAGGATGCTGGCTCCCCAGAGCCCTGGACTTTCCTTACAAAGGGCTATGTCAATATTTGCCTCTGGACACTGCACTTCCCTCACAGTGGGGATGAACACGTCATCCTCTGAGCTGGGGGCAGGGAAGGAGAACCTCGGTACCTTTAATTTGGGGAATTTGACAGTTAGTACAGAATCTTCCCACAGTTGATCCATATTAACCACAGAAATCTGGGATGGCATATCAGTACTTGAAGCTTTCAGTTTAAGTGGACCTTCAGGCTGGGATGACCATGTCTCTGTTTTATCCTCCATGCTGGCAAGGTCATGTCCTGGCTTGGAAAGAGGAGTCTCATCTATTTCTCCTGGAAGAACCTGGGTTTCTGGAAGCCTCATGCCAGGCATCTGAAAAGGGAGAGGTCCTTTGGTTGGATGGATCCTGACCTCAGAAGTGGAAAGCTCATCCCCGGTCATCCCAGCAGTGGAAAGGTGCAGCTTCAAGCCTGTGCTGTCAAGATCACACCTTAGAACATCTGTGGATGATTTGCTCTCAGAAGCTGTCACTTCTGCATCTGCCTCTGGGAGCTGTAGGGACATACTTGCCTCCATGTTTGACCCAGAAACAAGGAACTCTTTGATTCTAGCTGCTGCTTCATCCCCTGTTGCTGCAGGTGCCTGTGTCTGAGCCACTTCCAGCTTTCCAGCCCCGCCTCTGTCCCTGGAAGAGTGCCTAAGGCTGGGCATGCGGAACTTGGGCATTTTAAACCAGCTTTCCTGTGAGTCCCTGGTCGTGGCTTCCTCCTCTGGGCTTTCCACTGTGGGGACTTCAGCATCTGGTTTTCTACAGGATGGCTGGAGGGAGTCTTCAGGTGTGGGAGCTATCCCCTCCCCACAAGGCTGGCTTGTTGGGACATCGCCGAGCCCACATCCTCTGCTGTCACCTTCGGTAGACAGATCATGTTTGGGAAGAGGCAGGTCAGCTTCAGACTGGCTCACCTGCCCCTTGGCCTTGGAGGATCTGAGATCAGGTTTGGCAAAGCCCAAACTGGGAATGCGGACCTGTGGACAGGGGAGGTTCACACCCTCACCTTCTGTGGCACTTGCTGTTGCACCAAGTCCTACCCCACCACCGTCAGTGCTGGCCTTTTCTGTGTCTTGAAAGCTACCCCCTGCTGTGACACTAGAAAGAGAAGGATCCATGTCTCTCTGTGGCAGGCTGACCCCACTCTTAGAAGCCTTCATTTTGGGTAGTGCAAGTTTTGGCATGGCGAAGCCAGGCTTTGTGCTCCTTTCCTTCTCTCCATCCCTCTCAGGAGGCAGATCTATGTGCATGGCAGACTGCGGGGCCACTTCATCCTTGTCTAAAACCAGGCTGAGTTTTGAGTCCTCCACGCTGCATTCTGGGTCCACCTTTGGCCCTGCTTCCTTCTTCGGGGACCACCTAAATGATGGAAGCTTAATCTTAGGCATTTTGAAGGGACTCCCTTTCCCTTCGTGGTCAGTATCTTCAGAAGGGGCTTCTCCGGGGACCGCTACTGATGTCTGCAAGGAGGCCACAAGCTCTTCCGGACCCTGGGACACAGAGGTGCCTGGGGATGGCAGATGGGTGCTTGGCAAGGGGCACTGCACTCCCTCTCCAGGGCTAAGAGGAGACATGACTGGGGCACCCGCTGCTGCATGTAAGTCTCCCTCAGGAACTGACATTTGGGGAACTGAAAACACAAACTTTGGTTTATAGAATTTAGGAAAAGACACCTGACCAAGAGAAACAGGAATCATGGAATTCAGTGGACCAGAGTGACTCTCCGTTTCAGATATTGGAACTCCCTCTGGAGGTTGCAGGTCAGCAGAGCACTCTGTCTTGGGAAGAGGAAACTCAGCCTGAGACCCAGAAGGAATTTCCAGAGCAAGCTCAGGGGCCAAGGCAGCTCTGGGAACGGTCACCTGGTATTTTGTAAGTGTAACACCCTCACAGGGAGAGAGAATAGAAGATTCAAAGTGAGGACCAGTGAGATCAATCCGGGATGATGGAAACCCAGTCAAACCAACCTCAGGCATCTGCATGGATGGCTCTGAACCACCCGAAACCTGCTGTAATTCACAACTTGGGGATTCTGAAGATGATAAGGGAATCATGGAAAGACCTACGCTAGATTCTGCACCTGAGACTAAACTATCTTTAGCAGTTTTGGCAGAAGAAAATGAAACTTTGGGCATTTTAAAATGCAGTTTCTTAAACTTCGAATCCACTCCAGCTTCTCCAACAGCAAGCCCCAGGTTACTGTCGCATGATGGATCATGAAGATCACCTTCACGAACAACAGACTCCACAATGGGAAATGCTGAAGTCTTCTCACGGAATGTAACATTTCCTTTGATTTCAGAGGATGACACGGAAATTTTCTTTGACGAGCATTCAGCACCAGACGTGCTCAGTTTTTGCAGTTGAAACTTGCTGTCTTTTGCAGCTAAATCCTCGTGGACCAGGGACAGGTCCCCCTCTAGCCCCGCGCCGTGAAACATTGCTCCTGGGGCCTGGATGTCCACCTCCGTGCTGGGCAGAGACACCTCCACGTCGGGGACCATCACTTCAGCCTTGAGGCTTTTCAGGTCCAGCTTGCGGCCCGTGACGTCCACCTGGGGGCCCTTGAAACTGGGCATCTGCAGCTTGAGCAGGTGCCCTTTGAGGCTGGCTCCCTCGGGCACGTGGCCCTCCAGGAGCTTCACGTCCACCGGGCCAGCCTGGACCTCCAGGTTGGTGGAAGGGGGCTGAAAGCTGAGGTCACTGGTCTTGAGGTCACCCTGCACGGAGGGGAGGCTCACGTCGGCCTCCACCTTTGGCACAGACACGTCCACTGAGGCCTCAATGGACTTCGCTGGGGGCGACACCCCAAACGACGGCATCTTGAACTTGGGCATTTTGGACTTGCTGTCTTTAGTGGTCACGTCCTTTTCAGCCAGGGACAGGTGCCCCTCCAGCCCCCTGGTGTCCAGCTTGGCTCCCGTGGCCTGGACGTCCACCTCCACGCTGGGCAGAGACACCTCCACGTCGGGGACCGTCACCTCTGCCTTAGGGCCTTTCAGGTCCAACTTGGGGCCCTTGACATCCACCTGGGGGCCCTTGAGGTCTACCTTGGGCATCTTGAAACTGGGCATCTGCACCTTGGGCAGGTGCCCTTTGAGGCTGGCTCCCTCGGGCATGTGGCCCTCAGGGAGCTTCATGTCCACCTGGACAGCCTGTATCTCCAGCTCGGCGGAAGGGGACTGAATGCTGAGGTCAGTGGTCTTGAGGTCACCCTGCATGGAAGGCAGGCTCACGTCGGCCTCCAGCTTTGATACAGACATGTCCACCAAGGGCTCGATGGACTTGCCTGGGGCCGACACCCCAAAGGACGGCATCTTGAACTTGGGCATTTTGAACTTGCTGTCTTTAACGGTCACGTCCTTGTCAGCCAGGGACAGGTCCCCCTCCAGCCGTGCACCGTCCAGCTTGGCTCCCGGGGCCTGGATGTCCACCTCCACGCTGGGCAGAGACACATCCACGTCGGGGGTCATCACTTCCGCCTTGGGGCTTTTCAGGTCTAGCTTGGGGCCCTTGAGGTCTACTTTGGGCATCTTGAAACTGGGCATCTGCACCTTGGGCAGGTGCCCTTTGAGGCTGGCTCCCTCGGGCACATGACCCTCCGGGAGCTTCACGTCCAACTGGACAGCCTGGACCTCCAGCTCAGCGGAAGAGGGCTGAATGCTGAGGTCCGTGGTCTTGAGGTCCCCCTGCATGGAGGGGAGGCTCACGTCGGCCTCCACCTTCGGCACAGACACGTCCACCGAGGCCTCCATGGACTTGCCTGGGGCGGACAGCCCGAACGATGGCATCTTGAACTTGGGCATTTTGAATTTGCTGTCTTTGGCGGTCACGTCCTTGTCAGCCAGGGATAGGTCCCCCTCCAGCCGCGCACCATCCAGTTTGACTCCTGGGGCCTGGACATCCACCTCCACGCTGGGCAGAGACACCTCCACATCAGGGGCCGTCACCTCTGCCTTGGGACCTTTCAGGTCCAGCTTGGGGCCCTTGATATCCACCTGGGGGCCTTTGAGGTCCACTTTGGGCATCTTCAAACTGGGGCGTCCAAAGGGCACCTGCCCAAGGTGCAGATGCCCCAC